GCAAAATGAACGATGAATTTGAATCTGTGACGTAGATAAAGTTCATTAACAGCAAATGAGAAGGAACCGTTAAACTATCCAGATAAAAAAATTTGACTAAAGTAGAGAGTAGTTCGGTTTATGACACGGCTTTAAACGGTTCGGTTTTTGCAAGAAAATATTTGTTTCATTATTTTTAAGGTGTAGTATTAATTTATTTATAAACAAATAACAATATTTGAACTAAATAAACAATCAAATTTCTTTAAAAAAATAAGTTTTAATTGAGAATGATTTGCAAGTGCATTTTTAGTGGTAATTGAGCCTTTTGAAATACAGAGTAAACATAATATCCATATGTATGTGTGTATGTAAATAATAATGATAATATAAAATATTTTACTTATATCAGTGTTAAAAATATTAAAAATTATTGTGCAAAATTTTTTATTTAAAAATATTAAAACATTTTGATTAAAAATGTAACAGAAAACTTTAATCGTATTCCAAAATATACAAAATAACAAAAGCCGTAGTAAATATGCGTGTAAAACAATAACAAGAACCGCTAATTGCAGTTACATTGACGCAAGCAGCGTTGTTATTACAGCAGTAGAAAACAGCAATGCAAAGTAGTGCTGTTCATATTCGAATTTACGAAGTATTCGAAGAAATTCGAATATTCGAATAGTAAACGAAGTCTTCGAAGTTGAAAAAAACTTCGAAGTTTTTGTGAATTTTTGTTCTCGAAGTCTTCGAAGTTTAAATGTAGTGAAAAACTTCGAAGACTTCGAAGACTTCGTAAGCAAAAGGTGAAGTGAGAGCGCACAATGCAAACAAACGTGCATCACACAAATTATTTGAGGGATGAAAGCGTTTGCTTTGTTTGTACGGTTTTATGTTTTTTGTTGTTATCCTATGCAGAAAATTAAAAACATGTTTTTTTGTTTTATTTTATTACATAAAATTTATTTTATTATTAAATATGTATTATAATATATATTATTTTTAAATATGTTATTATTAAATATTTTTTATATTAAATAAAAAATTCACATTTTAAATAACTTATATTTATTATATATATTTAAAAAATTATATTTGAGAAAATTTTTAATATAATATAAAATATATACGTAATAATATGAAAATATTGATATTGATGGATTTTATTAGTAATGGAATTTTATAAAAGTTTTCATTTTCCTTTTCAATAAAATCACAAATTAAAATCTTGAAAATTAGTTATGGAAAAATGAGTTTTGCTTATTAATGCCTAATTATTTGACCTGTATGAGCTGTGATGATCACGCAGGCAAGCGCAAATTTATTTTTGCATTATAAAATTTTGAATGTTTTGTTGTAGTTACAGTTATTTTACTGTTTATGGAAAAATTTTAAATCCCTTATTCTAGGAAAAGAAATACATAATATTATAAGGAAGTATCTAAATAAAATGTAAATTAGTGTATAAGCAAAATTGTATAAAAGAAATTCCATCAAATTTTCATGTATTTTATATTATATTAAAAATTTTCATAAATATAATTTTTTAAATATAAATAATAAATATAAGTTATTTAAAATGTGAATTTTTTATTTAATATAAAAAATATTTAATAATAACATATTTAAAAATAATATATATTATAATACATATTTAATAATAAAATAAATTTTATGTAATAAAATAAAACAAAAAAACATGTTTTTAATTTTCTGCATAGAATAACAACAAAAAACATAAAACCGTACAAACAAAGCAAATGCTTTCATCCCTCAAATAATTTGTGTGATGCACGTTTGTTTGCATTTTGCGCTCTCACTTCACCTTTTGCTTACGAAGTCTTCGAAGTCTTCGAAGTTTTTCACTACATTTAAACTTCGAAGACTTCGAGAACAAAAATTCACAAAAACTTCGAAGTTTTTTCCAACTTCGAAGACTTCGTTGAAATGCGAATATTCGAATATTCGAAGAACTTCGAATTTTTAAAAACTTCGAATAATGTGAACAGCACTACAAAGCCGCTGTCTTGCAAACAATATGGAATAATGATTTGGAAATTGCATTTGTTATGACGCGAGCAGCGCTGTTATTAGAATAAAGTCTGTAAAAATACAGATACTTTACAGCGCTGCTAATAAATTTTATTTGTTCTTAAAATTAGATGACAGTTGTTGTTTTAAGAAAAGTGAAAGTGTTTGCTTAAATGAAAATGTTTGTTTGTTTCTACTTTCAATTTTTTTTTACTTTAATTATTATTTATTATTTGCAAAAAAAAAAATATGATCAATTTAAACAATTTTTTTTAATATTTATTATAAACAAGAGAAAAAAAATACTTCTATATATTTGGCAAATTTGTTCAACTAACAGGTAAGTTAATTTTTTTTAATTTTTTTTTTTATATTCTAATTTCTCTCATGTCATTATTGTTTATAAACTATCATTGAGCAAAACTAAAAAATATAATAATATAAAATTTATATACGTATAAAATATATAATTATTTATGTATTTAATATAATATAAATTATATATAAATATAATATTTAAATGGGTGGATAAATTTTTTGGAATTACTATTTCATTTATATTATTTTTCTGTCTGGTTATACCGTAGTTTGCTGTTGAGTATAATTTGATGCTGATGTAGGCAATAACAAAAATTTAAAATTCATACTAAGTAAAAGCTGCCATTTAGCCTACAAATTTCAAAGAAAATAAATCGATTAACAGATACAGAAGTCTTAAAACAAAAAATAGCAATATATGGAAATCTCACTTAAAATAAAGGTCCTTGGGCCCGTGGCGTTTATAAGGAACGTTATAGTTCATCTTAATCAAAAGCCGACCCCAATTTTGATATTTGAAATACGCAACTTTTATTCATATGTTTAAGAGCCATCGACCCATAGACCATTATGCTGGTATCTGTCGAATCTGTCGCAAACGCACCCGTTAACCTAAACTTAATTGTTACATATATCCTGAAATAAGAAACTTCAGTTTTTAAAAACTTTGTCCAAGAACCTTAAACCTATAGGCGCTCTTCGTTAGATCTGTCGCAAACGCACCCGTTAACCTAAACTTAATTGTTACACATTTATTAAAATAAGTAACTCCACTTTTCAAGAACTTTGTTCAAGAAACTAAACCAATAGGCGCTCTTCGTCGAATCTGTCGCAGATTCAGCCTTGAATCTAAACTAAACTTATTCGATACATATTTCTTCAAATATCGTAACTTTAATTTTTAATTTTCTGTTTATCGGGGTTTTTTTATGTTTTCTTTAAAAAATTAATAAATAATACAGACTCAAAGTCCTTTGGGAAGATAAGTGTAAATAATGTTTTATAATATTTAAATAACTCAATTTTTTTATGAATAAATTTTCTTAAAAAAAACGCGCATATAAAAATTTCTGCATAATAAAATTTAAATTACAGTAAATTTTCATTTCACAAGTAATTTTACGCATTTTAAGGATATAAAAACACATTGCACTTGTTGACAAACATTATTTCGGTATTTTGTTTTTGTTTTTTTTTATTGATGTCCTTAATGAAAATTTTAACGCTCCTTATGTGTATGAAAATTGAACTGTGCAGAGTTGAATGACACCGCAAAGGGAAGGAAGACGGCAAAGTGTTGCATGAATGATACACAATGGACCACAATATGAGGGTCATTACTGTATTACAGAGCATAAAAGTATTTTATGTGTCAACACTACAAACAGCAAGCGTAAAAAGGATAACATCCTTCTGAATGCATAAAAAACCGTAGCGATTCCAATAGCAATAAAATAGTTAAACACGAAAAAGGGCAAGGAGCGTTGTAGGATGGCACTGGCCATATGAAAATGTTCAACATATGAGAATAAACGTAAAAGGGT